GAGCCCCCCCCGGGGCTCGGCCCGCACCCGCCTCCCGCACCCTCTGCGGGCCCCGGGGGCACCTCCCTGCCCGCCGGGCAGGGCTGTTGCACCGACCCCGCTGCAGCTTCTGGCCCAAACCGGTTTTATTTCTTCCCCCCAGGACGGTGACAAACCCGGGAGCCCAGACCGGAGCTTGATCCGCAGAAGCGAAGCTGCTCGCGGCCGCAGGGAACTGGTTGTGCCCGTGTCCCCGTGCGAGGTAACCCATTGCAACACGGATTTTATCTTTTCCCCACCAGAAGCTGCACAACAGAGATGAAGGCCTTTAGGAATTTTAAAATGGAGGTTTCTTTTTCTTCCTGTGCGGTGGCACCTTTGTCACTCGTTGGAGCCGGGAGTGAAAAGGCCCCAGCACCCACAGTCACCCCCTTCCCGCCAGGCCCAGCCTCCCATCACAGGTTGGAAGAAAATCCTACAACTTCAGCTTGTGTTACTGGGAACCACAAGGCTGAGGTGAGACTGCAGGACCTTGGAAGTGCCCAGCTGCTTGGTGGTGCTCAGGTTTGCTCAGGTAATGGCCCACCAGAGGTTCTCTCTGAACAGAGGGAAGGTATTTCTCAGAATGTCTTGAAGCTGAACACAGAACCTGTTTTCAGAAGGTCAGCAGGATGCTCAGGGGAACGCAGACCTGCTGCACACAGAGCAGTGTGGGGTGAGACACAACCTGCCTCCTCACTACTCCTTTTCATCAGCAGAACCTGCCTGTGGGGTTCAAGTGCTCAAGCCTGGCCAGCCCAGCTAACCAGAGCTACAGCAGTCCCTGAACTCCAGCAGCTCCAGCCCTGCAGGCACCACTCCTGGCAAGCACAGAAACCTGACACAAACCAGCTCTTGCCTGCTCACCCTTCAGACCCGACTCTAAAACCCACTCGAGCAAGGTACTTCTAGAGAGAGAAGTTTATTTAGACACCATATCATTTACATCCAGCACAACAATCAGCAAACCAGTTAACCTAAATTAGCTCGCTCAGCTTGGTTGTTAATTGTTCCATTTAGTGCTAAATTAATTAATTTGCTGCTTTGAGTTGCATCACAGCTGAAGCGGCGATGGCAGGAATCAAGCCACAAAGAGGATGAGAGTGTGAACACATGACCTAACAAGATGTCTGCTATCTTTAGACTTTATTACTGAAGCTTTTTTGTCATTCACAGGTCAGTTCCTGTAAGGCTTCTTCAGCAACCTTGATCTGAAGGCTTAGGATAGACCTGAAAGGTAAGAGGTTATCACAGTTAATCATTAACTTTTGAATCCTTGCTGTAGAGCAGGTGAGCCAGGGTGTTCTGTGTCCCCTCATCTGTCTGCAGACTCCAACAGCCCATCCCAGCACCAGCACTTGTCTGTATCCTTGCCACGTCAGGGCTTGCCAGCTGTGCAGAGCAGGCCCTTGCTACACTGCTTCTCCAGGCCTGCTGCCACCACCCTCCAGATGGTCAGCTCCAGTCCCTGCACCAGCACAAAAGGTTCAGGAACTCATCCTCACCACCCCACCACTTCCACCTACTGTACAGGACCAAAACAGGAAGCCAAACAGCAGCCTGCTTTAACTGGCTGCAGTGTGTATGCTCTAGATCAATTCCCATGCTTTACTGGATGGGCACAGGACATTCCCACAGTAATTTTACTGATCAGCTTGTTTAGCAGTTGCCTGGTAGCACTGCCTACTTACCATTAGCAAACCTGCACTGCTTCAGCACCTCACTGAAGCCCTCGCACAGCTTGAGGTCAGTCTGGTTCTGTGCACACTCCAGGAACTGCTTCATTTCATACTGGCAAGGAGCAAACTGGGACTGCTGCTGCTGCTGGTAGGCAGGCTGGGCTGCCTGGGGCTCCTGGAATGGCAGACACCCCTGTCAGCACCCTGGAAACAGCTCCAGCTTGTGAGGCTGCACCACCCCAGTACTGCTTGCTGTGTGTTTCTCCCCTGCCTTTTAGTCAAAATGTTGTGCTGCTTTTTAAATGGAAAGCAAATAACGGGCTGAAGAACAAACCAGTTCCAAGCAGAGACGTGGCACGTTCTCAACAGTTTTGTAAGTGACACTTGGGTAACTCTGGATTGCATTACATTGATATTTTAGCAGCACAACAAGGCCTTGCAATGTTTCTTACTGTCATCAGGCCTGGAACACTGAAGTTCTGTCTGATCAGAGGGGTACAGCAGTATAAGCCACCACTAATTCCCTACCACAAGCACCTATCACCCATGAACTGCTTTTAAGAGGCTCACGGTGATGGCAGTGGTTGCCTTGGAATCACTGAAGTTACCTCAGCCATGGTGTGTGCGGTCTGTGTACAGCAGCGACCCCAGCCTGTACAGAACTGATGCTACAAGTACAAATTAACCCTGGTTAGCGGGTGTCCTGCTGTGCTTCCTCTTACCTGGTAGGTGATATCAGGCCTCGCAGCTTCAGAGCTGCTTCCTCCACCAAACCCTCCTGTAAGCGCGTGGCCTATGGTGTGTCCCACGGCAGAGCCCACGGCGACCCCGGCAGCAGTGGTGGCCATCTGGGCCATCAGCCCCGGCTGCTTCGGGGCGG